CTTCCTTGAGAAAGTCCTCTCACTGAAACTGGAGCCCACCAGCAAGTTTCAGTAACCATTCTGTCTCCATTTCCTTCCCAACCTTTCAGTACCAGGGTTACAGGTGAATCACCAAAGTCACACTAGGCTTTTTACAGGGTCCTGGGGAACTAAACTCAGGTCTTCATGCTTATACAGCAGGTACTCTTACCCACTGAGGGCCATTTCCAGGCTCTTCCATCCCTCTCTCCTTCCCTCCCTCCCATCCTTTGTTCCTGTATTAGGGATGAAAGAAGGGGCCTCATGTGTGCATATCAGGCAAGTGCTTTACCATTGAGCTATATCCCCAGGCTGGGAGCAGGAATTTTTTCAGTATCTTTAGGACCAGCATCCCATCTTGAGGGTAAAACAAGAAGAAATAACCTGGAATGAAACTGACAGCCTCGTAGCCACTCATGGATCACTTGTGGATATAGGACATATTGACACCAGTTGTCTTTGCCATTCTTACAGCAATCCTTCTTGTTCTCCGATTTCAAAGGCTAATCCAGAGGGTTTCTAAGAAAACCCCTGGCTATCACCAGCAATTATATGAACCACAGCAGTTTCCACCTCCCAGTGGCATCTAGTGTAAGTCAGTCACATGGCAGGCTTGGAGGTGGGGGTTCTGAATAGCTTTTCCCATGGCTTGACTTAGGTTTGCCCTTTGGCAATAAAAATTTCCAGAGTTCCCTTGAATATTAACAACCCTGGCAGGCATTCAGGTCACAAGAAAAGTTTAAATAGGACAGGACTGAATATTTCACACTTCATTAACAAACAGCTTTTTTCTCACCTGTCACTCATACCTCTGCCTCCTGCCTCAAACATAGGGAGGAACGGGAAAGCATGGATGTGCTAGAATGAAAGTGTTAAAAGGAGTATAAATCACCTTCAGTTCCCTTCATTTTCTGGCTTTCTGTCTCACTCGGGTCTGCTCGTGGAGACAAGTCACTGTTGTAACTTGTCATCTCAGTTGTGAGGTCAGGCTCAGAGTCTCACACACATGTGTACATACACACACTGGTGCAAGTTTCAAATATGACTCATGAAGCCAACAATTATCAGATTGTTGTGCCACCCCAGCTACAACTCAGTAAATGTCCTCCTAAAATTGCTAGACCACAGCAAAGCTCATTATTTTGTATTCAAGCTTAAAAACAAAATAGTAATTAAAAAATCATGAGAACACTACAGGCAGTTTCCAGTTTATGAAATGGTAATTATCCTAAATTTACTTTGGTCTTTTTATTTTGCAAAAAAAGGACTTATTTTTACTTTGCATGTCTGAGTGTTTTGCCTGCACATATGTATGTGTGCCATATGTGTGCACTCTGGAGGCAGAGCAGGCAGATCTCTGTGATTTCTGGGGACCAGCTTGGTCCCCAGAGCGAGTTCCAGGATAGCCAGGACTGTCCCAAAACCCTGTCTTAAAAAATCAAAACCAACCAAACAAACCTGATAACATGCTTTTCTCTAAATGTATATAATTGTTAAAAATTAAGGTATAGAGCTGGAGAGATAGCCCTGTTAGTAAAGAGCTCGCTCCGAAGACGTGAAGACCTGAGCTCAATCTCCAGAACCATGTAAAACCTAGTAGCGGGGTTAATCTAACCAGGGGGCTCTGGCCAATGATAGCTTAGAACAAGCGGATAACTAATGCCTGTCAGAAGACCAATACCTTAGTTCCTCCAAAGCATCTACAGGGCCAAGGAATTAAGTCTGAAAGTACATACCTGGAAGTGGGGTGCCTGAAAGCTCCTTATATCTGGGGCCCCTTTGTCCTTTTACTTATTTATATTTCAGCAAACTAGTGTTTATTGAATATACTTGGAGTAACAAAGAAGAGATTCACACATAGATCTATACCACGTGTGTTTACATTTCAAACACTATATATATGTATATATCAGAGCTTGTTTACAAGGAACTTCAGAGACAGAAGCAGAAGGCCTAAGGGTTAGAAGAAAATTATTTATTTTAGCTGGGCATGGTGATACATGCATTTAATCCCAACACTTGGGAGGCAGAGGCAGACAGGTCACTGTGAGTTAAGAGGCCAGCCTAGTCTAGGTAGTGAGGATCCTAATAATTTTTTTAAAAGTATTATTATTAAATAAAGAAAAAATACTAAGTTAGCACACAAAACAATGGGCTTTGCTGTGGCATTTCATCCACGCCATTTTACTTTTGTTCCTCATGGCCCTCCCCCATTGCCCCTGTTCTTCTTTTTCCCATTTGTGCCAATGCACTTGCATGTGGAGTTCAGAGAATGATGGAGGGTGCTATTCCTCAGACTTTCACTGGAGACAGGGTCTCATTGGCTGGGAACTTCCTGACTAGGTAAGCTAGCTGTGAGCACCAGGGATCCACCTGTTCATGCCTACCTTGCCATTGTTGGGATTGGGAGCAGACACCACCATCATATTTGTTTGTGTGGGTTCTGGGAACCCAACTCAGCAACTCAGGTCCTCATGCTTAGCAGACCAGTGCCTTATGGGCAGCCTTGTCCACAGGCACCTTCGTTCCTCATACAGGAGGAACTGAATCTTAACCCTGTTAACCAGAAAGGTCTTCTGTTTCCCAGCCACTTCCCTCCTCTCACGCTGACTAGTATGCTGTGGCTTCCTTCTTTGTGTGTTGCTTCTGTCTGAATATGTGAGTGCCATTGTGGAATATAATAGGCTGAACCAATATACACAACCTCCAGAGTCCTCATTATGTGATGAAATCATGCCACTCTTTATTAACAATGGATTATTCTTTGGCTCAAGGAAATTTCTTACCAGTAACCTTACCAAGCTAGAACGATAAAACTAAACATCGGGGTGTTCAGATGATTTACAACACGACTGCTGTCCTTCTGTTGCCTGACCTCATCGTCCAGTCAGGTGGACTTGCTCGAGGACACACAGTTTGACCTAATCCTCATTCCTTGTTGTTTCCATCATCTGATATGAACATCAAAAACTTTAAGACAATAATATAATGAAATCACATCAAAATAAAATAAATGATAAACACAATGTTTTGGGGTTTTTGTTGTTTTTGTTTTGGTTTTTTGTGACGTGGTTTCTCCGCAGCTTTGGAGCCTGTCCTGGAACTCACTCTGTAGAACAGCCTGGCCTCCAACTCACAGAGATCCACCTGTCTCTGCCTCCCGAGTGCTGGGATTAAAGGCGTATACCACCACTGCCTGGCCTGATAAACACAATGGTGATTTCAGAAAAATTACCTCATCCAGCTTTAGCCAAAAATAAGAGCAAAATAATACAAATCTAGGTTTTTGTTTTTTAGTATTTGAGGTGTTTAGTCTTTGGAACTCAGTAAACCAGGCTGGCTTTAAACTCAGAAATCTGCCTGCCTCTGCCTCCCAAGTATTTTTTATTTTTTAATTTAATTTTTTTTTTTTTTTTTTTTTTTTTTTTTTTTTTTTTTTTTTTAGTTTTTTCCCCAACTGGCCTGAGTCTTGCCAAGTACACCATATACCAGGCTGGGTTCTCCCTGTCTCTATTTCTTCAGGGCTGGAATGACCCAGTTTTCTGGGAACTCACCTACTCTCCCAGCTTGTTTTGCTGTTGTTTTTTATTTTAGCTCTAGCGGGCCTGGAACTTTCTGGGACCACCACCCCCCACCCCACCCCCCACCAGGTGCTGGGATCACAGGCATGCAATCCCAATGGTCTGACACAAAATGCATGCAAACAAGAAGGGAGAAAATATTAGTCACCTAAGGACTGTGACCAACAGGTAAGTCTTCATGGCTTTCCAGTTTCTTTTCCTTTTTTTGGGAGGGGGGGTTCTTTTTTTTTTTTTAAAGATTTATTTCTTACATATACACTATTCTACCTACATGCCAGAAGAGGGCACCAGATTGAATTGTAGATGGTTGTGAGCCATCATGTGGTTGCTGGAATTGAACTCAGGACCTCTGGAATAGCAGCCAGTGCTCTTAACCTGTGAGCCATCTCTCCAGCCCCAGTTTCTTTTCTTTTTAAGAAACTATTTAGGGTGTTAGTGGCACACGCCTTTAATCCCAGCACTCAGGAGGCAGAGGCAGGCGGATCTCTGTGAGGTCGAGACCAGCCCGGTCTACCAGAGCTAGATCCAGGACAGCCTCCAAAGCCACAGAGAAACCCTGTCTTGGAAAAAAAAAAAAAAAGAGAACTATTTATTAGCAGGGTAGTGTAGGCGCACGCCTTTAATCCCAGTGCTCAGGAACAGAGGAAGACAGATCTATGAGTTCAAGGCCAGCCTGGTCTACAGAGTGAATTCCAGAACAGCCAGGGCTGTTACACAGAGAAACCCTGTCCTGAAAACAAAAACAAGATTTGTTTTTATTATTTTTAATTACATGTATGAGTGTGTCTGTGTGGGTATTCGCAGTGCTGGCAGGTCCCTCTGGAGGCACAGATGGTGTGAGCAACCCAATGTGGGGGCTGGAGAAGAGGTGGCAGGTCCCCTGCAGGAACAGTATGAGCTCTTAACTACTCTCCAGCCCCACTGCTTATTTTCTGATTAAGAAGTATTTTCAAGAACATTTGGTGAACACAGGAATGGTTGAAAACTAACCAATAAAGAGCACACACAAAACAGCAGGTAACTGACATTTTAATACATCTATGCATTAGTATAACATTAAAAAAAATCAGTTCTATAGCATCAGTCTTAAAAGATTAACATTTATAACTGTAGTAAAATAAAGTTTCACAATGCTAAATGTTCTTTAATTTTAAAGTTAACCTAAATATTTTTAAATGTACAAAATGTCAATATCTTACATAAAAAAAAAAAAAAAGAAGAAGCAAAACAAGAGTCCTGTTTTGTAGCCCAGACTGGCTTTGAACTTGACATCCTCCTGCCTCAGGTCTTGAGTGCTAGGATAGTGTGCACATGCCAACATATTTTATTGTTTTATTTATTTACTTATTTTAAAGTACTTTTGCTTCTCTCCTCTTTTTTATTTTTATTTTTTTATTTTTTGTATTTGTTTTGTGTTGTGAGACAAGGTCTCACTACAGAAGTTGGATTGGCCTTGGATCTGCAGGAGTGGTGCTAATTTCACTAACAAAGGCAAGCTAGGTCATTTAGCAGCCGGAACTGGAACTTTCTGGGCATCTGCCTGCTCCGTGTATTACTTTGGCTCCTCCACTTCGTAAACTCCTTCGGACATTAGTTGATTAATTGTCTGAATGGGAGCTACATTAGACAGAAGCCATTATTCTACACCAGGGAAGTGACTGGCTGGACTCTGCTGAATAGAAAAAAACCCAAAGCAGTGCTTTTTCTTCCCCATTTTAAGTTTTTTATTTATTTATTTTTTAAGACAGGATGTCATGTAGTCCAGGCTGGCCTTGAACTCACTATGTAGCAAAGCGGGACTTTGAGCTCCTGATCTTCCTGCCTCCCAGGCCCTGGACACAATGCATGGTTTATGCAGTGCTAGAACTGAATCCTCATGCATTCTGGGCATGTGCTCTATCAACCGGGCTACATCTCCAGCATTTTAATTTTTCTCTTTCTTTTTTTTAATGTTGCTAAGGATCAGCGCATCATCCAAGCTTGCCAGGGAAATCCTCAACCACTGAGCTATAGCCCCTGCCTGCTAACAATTTCTTTAAAAATATAATATATATTTCCATATTAAAAAACAGTAATACATTTCTCGTGAATAAAATGCCAGCCTGGATGCTTCTTGGTAAGATGAAATGAGTCATGGAGGGAATCCAAGGGAACTGAAAGGTGTCACTCACATGTGTACAGGACAGGGTGGGCTATGGGACTTGGGGATATATGCAGAGTGACCCTGACAAACATATGGGGGCCCATAACAGGTCACAAACAACAGCGGAACGGCTGGGCTGCTTAAGGCTTCATGTGGTAACGGTGAAAAGCACAACGACAAAACCACGGGGCAGGTGGCCTTAGGTTAAGCGCTGACTAAGGACTGTTTCTGGAGACTCATCCTGTGTAGTTTCAGCAAAACGTCCACAGCACTCCCCAACTGAATGCAGTGCTGATACAGTGGCAGGCTCTGTTCTGCATGTGTGAGAATTATGAGCACGTGCAGTCCTCATAACTGCCCTATGAGGTAGGTACCATCTTAGTTTCATTTTACAGAAACAGGCAGAGGTTTAATCAGCTTGCCCAAGGTCACAAAGTGTGACAACTGATCTTGGCTTCAGTCCTCATGAAGGGAGGGACTTCCTTAGGAAGAATCTCCTAAGAATTTTTCTTAGGAAGAGACATTGAAGGAGGCAGCTCGACTGAAGGAAAGAGCAACATGAGAACTGGGGCTAATGAGCTTGTCACCCCCAGTGACAGGATATCGAAATGACAACACATTTGAGTGAGAAAAACGTGAAACTGTACTCAGGTGACTACATGGTCTCTCCAGTCTCAGTAAGGGCTCTCATTGAGTTTGAAATTGTTTTGAAATGTTTAAGTAAAATCATACTGTTTAACCTTGGATGTTAAACCAAGCAGAAGCTAAGCTGGAAGCACCTGCTTCTCACCCATGAGGCCAGCATATAAAGGCAGGGAATAAATAGTTAGTTTCAGATGGGCTAAGAATAACCTTGCGTATCCCAATTCATTACTTTATCATATTCTTGAATTCTCTGCTTTATGTGAGAAAGTTTGTTCTTGAGGTAATCACAACGCTCCTTTTTTTCCAGAAATGAGGGGTCCTACGGAAGAAACAGTCGTTACTGAGCAGCCGCTTTCCTCGGTGATCGACACAGACACATCCTCACACAGAAAACAGCAGAATTACCTACAGATACGATCTGCATAATTAGAAAAATCACGCTTTCCATCTTTCTATCAATACAAAATAGCCCATGCTTTAGGGTCATAGCAAAAGTGAGGGGCATGTGGAGAGCCGGGAGGTACCTTTAATAGTCAAAATATGTGAAGTGGTAAGTATAGGAAACATGGATAAATGTCTCTCCCATATTTTTCCCAACTCCACACTTTGTGCAATCTCACAAGTCAACAGAGACTCCATGGAGAGACATTTCATAATTTAGCTTAAAAGAATCAGAAGTCTATCAGTTATCACCAATGTACCAGGACAAGGACTCTTTAACCAAGAAAGTTGTTTTTACTTACGTTCTTTTTTTTCCTAAACTCTTCATGGATTCTTGAAATTCTCTCATGTTCCTAAAAATAAAAAAAATTATTTTAGTTAAAATATGCATTTACTCAAAGCATGTCTCAAAGCACACTGGGATTTAGAACAGAAAGCTGTTTTTGCATATACCTGTAATTTTGGCACTTGGGGGCAGGCGTAGGACAACTATTCGAAGTGTAGGACAATTATTCAAAGTCAGTCTGGTCTACAGAGGGGGGGCTGCCTCAAAAGCAAACCTCCCCATTTTTTACTCAAAGCTAGAATGAAAATAGTTACTCAAAAATATAATTCAAGCCAGGCGTTGGTGGCGCTCGCCTTTAATCCCAGCACTCAGGAGGCAGAGGCAGGCGGATCTTTGTGAGTTCAAGGCCAGCCTGGTCTCCAGAGCAAGTGCCAGGATAGGCTCCAAAGCTACACAGAGAAACCCTGTTTCGAAAAACCAAAACCAAACCAAAACAAAAAATTATATATATTTATATATTTTTGCATTTATATATATTTACATATATATATATGTATTACATATATATATAGATATATATATATCACTGACAGCTCCTCCTTGTGAATCAGGTGAGAGACTGGGACTATTCAACTCCCCAGAAGAGCTAATAGAAGGTTCCTTCTAATTTTATTATACATCTTATACCAAATATAAATATAAGATTGGTGAAGAGGGGCCGGGCAGTGGTGGCTCACGCTTCTAATCCCAGCACTCGGGAAGAAAAAGCAGGAGGATCTCTGTGAGTTCGAGACCAGCCTGGTCTACAAGAGCTAGTTCCAGGACAGCCTCCAAAGCCACAGAGAAAACCCGCCCCAAAAAAAACAAAAAAAAAAAAAAAAAAAAAAAAAAAAAAAAAAAAGATAACTCATAACCAATAGTGACTTAAATGTATACTATACATATATGATAAAAACAAAGACCACTCAACTAATGTGGGTTCTCAGAAGAAAAATGTGTATGTGTGTGTGTGTGTGTGTGTGTGTGTATTTAGACATATATTTTTTCTTTTTTTCTTTTTTTTTTTTTTTTGAGACAGGGTTTCTTGCTCTCCTGGAACTCGCTCTATAAACCAGACAAGATCTGCCTGCCTCTGCCTCTGCCTCCCCGAGTGCTGGGATTTAAGGAATGCTGGACTCTCGTGTGTGTGTGTGTGTGTGTGTGTGTGTGTGTGTGTGTGTGTGTGTGTGTGTGTGTGT